AGAGCAGAGAAGAATCTATGGCTCAAGACTTCATGGAGCGCATCTATAGAGGCTTGATCTTTGCAGGTGGACATGTGGAAGCTAGCTCCGTTGCTAGCACAGACTGGGACTACTTGCAGTACCTGGAAGCAGTGAACAGGAAACATGAGGGGCTGAGACTTCGGCAACGCTGGAGAGATCAAGAACGAATTCGTGGTGAACGAGGAGGAAACCTGGAGAGGAGAAGGATTCCCAACCTCACAGCTGACCAAAGGGCTATGGTTGAAGGTCATGGATCTACAGCCATGGGAGCTGCACCACGTGAAGGAGAAGAAGATTTGAGCGGTGAGAACCTCAGTGGAGACACTGTTTCGATCCGGCTGGACAGCGGCGAAGTGGTCACCATCCCAGTGGAGTATGTCGAGACTACCACGGTTGGTCATGATGTGGGGTCATCACGAGATACTCCAATGGCTCCAGAACCAGAGCCAGTTCCAGCTGCTGAAGGTGAAGAGAGTGATGAAAACATGGAAGAGGGCAGTGACCAAAGTGGTCCGCCAAGGATCCATACCGCAGACTGGGAACCAGATCGCGTGGAAATCCCAGTGGCACAGTTCCAAGTCTACAACAAGGCGGTGACGAGAGCAGACCTAGTGGCACGAGAGGAACTTTTGAAGATTGAAGCACTGTGGTATCATGCAGTTAGGGTCAAAGATCCAGAACTTGAAAGCCAGATGTACAGTGCGATGGAAGATACTTTTCCATATATGGATTCCGCAAATCCACTGAACTAGAGATTTGAAGTGGATCTTAGAGCTCACACTTCAAAAGGAGGAGTGCGAAAGGCAATTGTATGTACTCACAGGTCATTTAAGATGACACTGCACAAATGAGAAGTGTACCAAACAAGGCCGTTGCATCTCAAGGAAAAGGTCCGCAGATTCGGATTCACTCTAGAAATGATGCCCACCCTAGCTCACTCAGCGAATGGCTCACGTGGCCACGAGCAGCTGACATCCTTTTGAGCATGATTTGAGCCTAGCCATGGCGATGAGACTTTCAGCACTGCAAGTCAATGGTGACATGATACATTTGGAAGTCGCGCCAGAGACGACAGGTAGAGAGCTCAAACAGCAAATGAGAGAACGGCAGGCGACCTGGGACGAGGTGACTCGCCAAACCACTGGGGTGGAGATCGTTGTCGGAGACAGGTTGCTAGGAAATGACGAGAAAGTCGTGGATGTGTTGGATGCGGAGCTGGGCGATTTGGTCGTGAATGTCATATTCAAGTCAAACACCATTACATGCTCCTACAAAGGTGCACTTGCCAACTTTGGCAGTGACATTGACTTGGAACTTTTGCTGGTGGTTGAAATCCCTCATCATGAAACTCAAATACCCAAGAGGGCATTCCAACGCTGCGAACAGTTGGCCAAATTGATCATCCCAGACTCAGTGACCCACATTGGGGATAGTGCCTTTGCGAGTTGCAGCTCTTTGGTGAGCTTGACCATCCCGAACTCACTCATCCGCATTGGGGATGATGCCTTTCAGGGTTGCACATCCTTGGCGAGCTTGACCATCCCAGACTCAGTGACTCACATTGGGATCGCAGCTTTTCAGAATTGTAACTCCTTAGTCACCTTGACTATCCCACATTCAGTTGAGTACATTGGGGATGGTGCCTTTTGGGGTTGCAGCTCAATTGTGAACCTGACCATCCTGAAGTCAGTGACCAACATCGGGGATGGTGCCTTTGGCTGTTGCAGGTCCTTGACAAGCTTGACGATCCCAAGCTCGGTGACGCACATTGGGGGTTATGCCTTTCAGGGTTGCAGTTCCTTAGTGGATTTGAGCATCCCGAACTCGGTGACCCACATTGGAGATCATGCCTTCGAGGGTTGCACATCATTGTTGAACTTGACCATGCCAGACTCCGCCCATATTGAGAAGGATGCCTTTTCAGGTTGCAGGTCTTTGACGAGCTCGGTCAGAACTCACCGGTGACTCACCGGGGTTTCGTTGAACTGCTGCGACTCAGCCGGTGAACGTGACCAGAACGAGCGATTCGCGCGAACGTTGGAGGTCCGACCGGAGAAGAGATCGCCTGAATCGCGGAGAAGATCAGACACCTGGGCGGCCTCAAATCTTGCGCGTCTGCTGAGTGTCGTGTCTTCCGCGGCCGAGTCCGCGGCTTCCGCGGCCGATGCATCCAATTCTTCGTTCGAAAAAGTGGCCTGCTGGACTGGTTGGGCCACTGGCCTCACGTGGCTTTGGACAGGTCCAGCTGCTGGCTGAGGACCTGCAGGCTTTTGTGCCTAAGCTGCTGAACCACTGAGGACCCGTGAGGCCAGCTGTAGCTCCACACGAGGCGTCTAAAGAAAACAGGCGCACCACCTCATGCTTCTTTGAAACAGGGGCATCTGGAAGCGGGCATGGTTTGGAACAGATGGCGTCATCTCCTCCTGATCTGTAGGAGTTAGCCGGCAAGGGTGCTGTTTGTCTTGATCGTGCAGTTCATGACCAGCCGTTGGGGAATTGTTCATCAGTCTATTTCATGCTGATTGTGTGTGGAGTTTTCTGGGAGCCCTGTGCGTTGTGGTCAATGTTTTGGAGTCAGAGCTTGACTTCCAATCGTAAAACCTTCCTGCCGACGAGGTGAACACCCGAAAAACACCCACAAGTGCCACAGGTCCAAAGAAAACACCCAGACACGACATCCATGGGACTGGCATATGCTCCATACATTGATCCCTGAAATCAACCACCCCTGGCCTGATCGGTCATGGAGTGTTTGGGAAAGGGAACCTGTGAAAGCCACACCCCTTGGTTCCTGACCCATGTCTTCTGTACACCAAAAGGTGGACCCCCAACGGATGTCGAGACCCCTTCGACCATCACAGTAGACATGCCAAGAGAGGTTGAACAGTCCTAAGGTCGCCCATCCCATATGTACCACAGACCAGGGTCCGAACGTGAAGCGACCTCTCAACCTCTCTTGGTGTGTCCGACGTGAATGGAGAAGGGCTAGGGTTTCGGGAGATCAACATCCTGGTCGCGTGATTCAGACATTCTGAACCATTCGGAATCATTCTGACCTTCTGTGCTGGCAGCTGGTCGTGGGGCAGGTGTGAAGAAGACCACGTTGGGCTCCAGAACCAGCTGTGTCGGCGATGCTTCAGGCGCGATCGTGGCGGGTTGGAGTTTTCTTCACACGTTTCAGGCCAATATGAACATCGAGATGTTAGGAGAAAAGGACTCCAGCTCGTAGATGAAACCTTTCAGGACTTGGAGGATGTTGTTCCTTCAGTACGCCGGACCGCATCCCACACCGACCGGCGTCCCGCATCGTCCATGCGCCCGGACGTCTGGGGTTCGGTCCAAACGGAACGGTCCAGCTGATACCAGGACCCGACTCTACAGGTCACCAATTGAGACCTGTTAGGGTCCAACAACCCTCAACTAACAGCCTGTTGGAGGGTGCTAGTAGATCTTGCAACTTTGCGAACAATTCTGCCTGGAGGGCGGGGTTTCTGGAACAGGCAGACATGGAGGCACAGGTGAAAGATCTAGGTGCAGCTTCTGTTTTTGGGGTTGTGAAGCTACCGCATGCAGTTCTGAAGCTACCACAGCCGTGGTTCGACCCTATACTGTATCCCTTGAAAAACCTCCAATCATGGCCTTACCCAGACGCTCCTGGACCCTTATGCAGGGGTCGGACCCGAATCCTCCAGTCTGGACCCTGAAATAGTCATATTTTGAGGACCCCTACTATGTAACAGCTAGGCACTATTTGTACATGTCTACTAGCAGCCACGGTTCACCAAGTGCATGTAAACACATGCCCCGACCGCGGCTCATGGCTCAAGGAAAATCGGCTCCGCTTCCGGTTTTCCTTCAGGGTGCCGCACGTGTTGGCCTGTGGCTGGCCGTGCCTTCGCTTTCGCTCTGCACCCTTTCGCACCTTTCGTGCCTTCGTCCGTCCGATCGCTTGCCAGCCTTCGTTCGTTCGACACCCTTCCCACCAAACCACGGGGACCCTCATCTCCGATTCCTATCGTGGTTTGGTCAACGTTCGTAGGGCATCTAGGGATTTAGCATACTTCTTCCACCGATTGCCATTTCATTGCATTTCGTGGGCTATACCCTATTTACCCGGCGGATTATCCAATCAATTGAAATGCCTATAATTTTGAGGGACCAAGGGCTGTTTGGAGAGTCTGGGTAGATGACATCTCCAGTGATTCAAACTACTGTGGCATCTGCCCTTCCAAGTTGCTTTCCGGTTCTGATTGGGGTTCACAATTCGACACACCCAACGCCCAGTGCCTGGAGAGAAGAACTGATTGCAAAGAGCCCAAGGCAACAGCTCAAAACCTTATGTTTGCTTTTTTGAAAGGCACGTCGTTCACTCACATGTTCTTTTTTGTTTTAAAGGGTCAGTTGATGTCATACCTCATATCCCGGCCTGGGAATGTCAAACAAAAGCGATGCAAAGACCGCGGAATTTCCTTTACTTACTTGGGTGGTGCCAATTACATGCGATCTTCCAACTATGCACCATTTCTGCCTTTTCGTCTCTAAAAAAAACCATCCCCCCACGGCCGACATGGTGGTTAATCGTTGGAAGATCTGGGAGTCCCTCCCCTACGCTGATCTCGGGTTCCAAAGTCGGATCCAGTGGAACTTCGGTCCGACCTCTCCGACTCGACCCGAGTCGCTTCACCCCCGCCACGCGGGCGGGTCGGGGTGGTTTGCGGGTGCGGAGCTCCGCGCCCCCCGAGCTCGGTGGGGAAGAGAAGCGGAGCTCGGTCAGGAAGATCCGGAGCCAGAGAGGAAGGAGAAGGCCATGGGCACTTGGGGCAGAGGTCACTTGGGATTGCGAGAGGGTGGTTGGTTCTGGTGACGAGAGTTCCACTTTTGATCCTGGTGGAGCTGAATTGGGGTATAGTATGGTATAGTCATAGTAGTAGTAGTAGTAGTAGTAGTAGTAGTAGTAGTAGTAGTAGTC